TTTACAGGCAAACAACCTTACTTGCAAGCAAGTCGATAGCCACTAATAACTGATGTGGGATGAATTTTCTGTTTCACAAGTTCATCTGCATTTTTCAGAAGTTCTGCGGCAATGATAACCTGTTGAGAAAACATTTACCAGTCTAAATTGGCCTGACGCTCTATACCTGCGATGCATGCATAAAAACACTATCCCACCATGACAGGCCATTATTAACGAGAATGGTGAGGGTGAGGAAAAGAGCAACAGGGTATTAAAGATAGCACTAAAGATTCTGTATGCCAATGGATAAAACGAGAGAGAAGCCAGAAAAATGCTGTGACTTGCTCCACAATAGACCAGAACACATCCATTATCAGTACTGATGTCCTCAAAAGAAGCTACACTCCTGACTACTGGCATGCTGGGTACTACTACAGGCTTTTTAGTTCAATTTAAAAATCCGTATAAGGTTTACTAAGAAATATTTGTTTTAACTTAAAGTCCTTCCAGTTTCTGAGGGAAATGTCATTTATGCCTATGTGTGTGATGTCACGGTGGTGAAATGCTTTCAAAGTCACACTTCAATTCTGACTTCCTGCGACTGCCCCTCAGCATTTAAAATATAAAAATACCGAGCTACTTTACAAAGCTGGTAAACTTTTCTCCCGTAGATAATTATAAAGGGTTTGGGAACTTCTAAGTCTTAGATGGTGTGAAAGAAACCAAACTTAGAAAGCATGAAAAACACCTCTCTGATGTATGAATACTGTCATAATGGGATGTTAACCCCAAACTGGTGAAATCCAAGGTTTGAAACGAGGAGGGTATTAATTCATTACCTCAAGTTCCTTTCCTTCTAAAATTGTACAAACTAGCTATAAACACTGATTTTCTTAATTTATTTTATGTTTTGGTACCGGGAATCGAACTCGGGACCTTACCCTTCCAGGCAGGCACTGTGCTGCTGAGCTATCTCCCCTGCCCAAACACAGATTTTCAAACTGTGTGATTTTTTTTTTTTTACCTGCTAAACAGTAACACTTTCCTTCTTAAAATACCCAGTTTATGTCAGACCCAGAGCAAATGACCGCTATGCGTATGACTCCGATAAAATGACTACTCTTTTGCCACTGTCCCACCTACCACTGAGGTTGTTCCATCTCCAACTTCTCTGTCTTGCAGATCAGCCAGCTCACAAAGAACTTTAGCTGCAGGATGTTCTACCTCCAGTAACTTCAGGATGGTGGCACCATCATTAGTAATGGTTACATCCTAGGAAATACGCAGTTAAAAAGTGGTAACATCAACCACCTCTAGGAACAAGATGCTCCCTAGATCAATACAGCCTCGCTGTGACGCACATTCATTCAACTTTAGCATAGACCTCCTACTACCCGGACTCAGAAATACAAGTAGTGTAACTGAACAGAGTAAAAACAGGGAACAACACGAGAGCCAAACGTACTTACACCAATATCGTCCACCAACATTTTATCCAAGCCAACCGGACCAAGAGAACTTTTTACGATATTCGCAATAGAGGCGGCAGCCATAACTGTAGATAACCAGTGCAAAAATAGAAAAGAAATCATTAGAAAACCCCACCGTTCTAAAGAACAATCATCTATTTCAGCCTAAAAAACTAAAAATTCCAACACCTCTGAATTTTCCAGATCTATGAAAACAAGCCCTTTTTGCTTTTAAAAGAAATCACCTACTAGAAGTCCATCAAAGGAGGGCAGCAAATCTCATCCCGAGCATATTTAATAAGTAGGCGAACTGTTATGAAGATTCACTGCCGGACAAGACACGAACGTAACCGCAACCGACCCACAGCTGCAATGTTCGGGTCCGCCCGGAGGGAGGGTCTCTCCCTCCGCTCAGACTCCGGCCCGCTCCTCTGTCGTGGTCGGCGCCGGCGCCGCGGACCGCGCCCGGGCGCGCGCTTCTCAGGCGCGGCTCTGCCGAGCCCCGCCGCCCTACCCCCCTCGCACGCCGGGACCGTTCCCGCGAGCGCCCCGCCCTGTGCGGCAGGCGGACACAGCCTCACTTCGGAGGAGCAGCGCCGGTGCTCCGCGACGGCGCCGGCCTCGCTAGAGCCCGTCCGCGGAGAAAAGGCTGCGGGCGGCGCGCGCGGTTCCGGCCCGC